CATGAAAATGTAATGAGGTGTACGATCAAGCCTTCGACTTCGCGCGATCATCCGAAGTACCTAAAAAAATCCAAAACTATAAGCATAAAGCTTAGTGATTTCTCCCAAAGTACAAACACGAAACAAACAACATAACATAACAGCATGAATACTGAGCCATCAGCCTTATTGGACCGTCTTGTAGGCCCTACGGACTATTTGGACCGCTCCCAAGCCTTTGGCATCTCTGGACCGCCTCGTAGGGCCTACATCCTTTCCGAACTACTCGCCGAGCCTTTAGCCTAACTCGACTACCTCGCAGGGCCTTCAATATATCCGGGCCACCCTGGGTCTGTTGTCCTTCAGCGCAAAGCATGACCACCTCAACCCAACCACACACTCACACAGTTCGACATTCTCATAGCACATAAACAATCAACAGAGAAGCACAAATCATACAAATCACTAAGCATAGCAACATCCTATGTACTAGGATACTTATCCAACAGATCATAACAACATAAGAACATCCTATCTACCAGGATACCAATCTAATAGATCATACCAGCACAACAACATACTATAATTACGATAACAATCCAAAGGGCCGGCCTTGGTGCCTTCGACCCTTTAGTAAAGTGAGGAAAACTCACCTCACAAGTAGTGCTAAACCGATAAAGTCGAATCCCAACTCACAACTCCAAACTCAACTGCTCGTAACCACCATATGGCTAATTCCATTAAAATCCCAAATCACCAAAATACCCTCAGAAGTAAAACATGGTCAACCCTAGTCAAAATCAATGTCAATAGTCAAGGTCAATAGTCCATGTTGACCCAACTCGGTGAATTATCAGAGAAACTCATCAAGTTATTGAGTGTTTAGAATACTGGGAAAACCCTAATCAACTCGCTGAGTCATCTCACCCACTCACCGAGTTCACTCAGTGTCCAGAAAGCGGGAAACCTTACACACTCATCAAGTTGGCTAAGCAACTTGTCGATTTCCTTCAGCCTTTTCATACTCACACCTTTCTAGTCGAATCCAAAGCCCCAAACTACAAATCTAGCCTGTTAGGGCTGAGATACCATGTAAAGTTGCTAACTTTATGTGCACGCAAGACATCAAAGGGGTTAGAACACTAAAATGAATCATAATAAAGTTTTAGGGCATGGAGAAGGGCTAAGATTGGATAAAGTGGGCAACTTTATGTTCTTGGAGACCTAGAGGTGTCCATATCTGATACCACATCCTATGGACAAGCTCAAATCCGAGAATGACTTCATTTTGCTCAAAAAATAATCATATACTTTCATAATAAAAGATCTAAACAATAAAAGGTCAAGGTATAAACTTTATACCTCAAGATGATTGCTGAGATAGAATAGATGTCGGATCTACCACTTCTCCCTTTACTTCAACCTCTTTAAGCTCCAAGTTCCTTCACAACCACACCAATATTACTCTCCAAAGCTTACACACACACTCAATAATGTATAAGGCTCGAACTAGGGTTTTCTATGGAAGATAATGTGATAAGGGAGGCTAATGAGGGGAATTAAGCTCCCTTAAATAGGGTGCAACCCTTAAAAATTAGGGTTTTCATGCACAACCTCAACTCGTTGAGTTGGGGTACTCCAACTTGTCGAGTAGGTTCCATAAACCACGCGGCCTAATTAGTTTCTACACGATTAGTTGGGGCCTCCAAATTGTCGAGTAGGTCTTAAGTGTTGTATAAAAACTCTTGAAATTCATAATTGGAATTCGTGATGTTACACTAAGGGAGGATTGCTAGGGTTTTAAGGACTTGGAGACTGGTAAAGAGGCCATCCCTAAAGACTTAATGTGCTTATATAGGGTACAACATAAAAAAATAGGGTTTTCATTTACCCCTTGTACGCCCTGCATACTCCTCGAACCCCTGGTCGAACCCTCATAGTATGCTAAGAGTACACCACATTACACCCAAAGTAAAGTCCTTCGCGTCAGTACTCTCCTCATACACCCTATATACGCCCCACATAATAGTGTTTCCTCTTAAACCCTTAAGCACTCCGAAGGCCATAGCTTCTTCGATATAAATTTGACTCCGACGATCCTTATATCCATGAAAAGGTAAAAAAAAGCTCTACGCTTTAATCAATCCATACATGCCTTACAATATCTTGAACAAACATCCAATTTCCATAAAAGCCCAAGATGAAAAATTACCTAAATACCCTTTGGCTCCAAAGCACAAACCGAATACCCAGATCATCCAAATTACATCATCCACCACCAAATAAGTACGAATCTTAGTTTATTAAAAGTCCTAAATCTGCTAATACCCAATCCTTAATCACCACCCCGAAATCAGAAACAATTCGAAAAAGGGTGTCACACATGCCCTCATGCAAATCATATAAGCATAAACAGATACTAGCATACAAAATGATCATTGGGCCCCCACTCGGTAAGCATACACACATATACATGCAAAAGTCACGCAAACATCTACCATCCTACATAACAAAATGTGGGCGGGTATTGGTGCCTTCGACCCGCTAAGCACGATGAGGAAAGTCACCTCGCACTGCCGAATCTCACGCAAAGAATCTCTGAGTGTTGGCCCATAAAAATTCCTAACAATCACAAAATAATCATTTATCAATATATCAGATCTCGACCCACACTAACTGTCTAAATTAGGGTAAAAGAACTTTTTACCCTTTGCCCAACTTGGCCCAAGGCCTAGGCCCAAACCACAAATCCAAAGGCCCAAATTCCAAATAAACACCCAAGGTCAAATATGGATCAATTTTCTAAATTGGGCCCAAACACTTTCATGGCCTTAAACCAATGTTTAAAATAATCTTAGACCAAAAACAATTTAATTCAGATAGCCCAACAAAGCGTTAAACATCTAAGCTCACAATATGGCCCAAAAAATTTAAGCTCATAATATTGCCCAAACCGAAGACCTAATAATCCAAGGCCCACTCTACTGAGTACGCGGGGCGTACTCATCTCATACGCGCAGCGTATTCGCCTCAGGGCTTGTACGCCAAGCGAACCTGCTTATACGCCCAACGTACTCTCTCATTCTACCATTTTCCATTTCTAGGTCTTATCTTATTAAGACTTTACTCCAACACTTAGATCTGACATCCTTGATTGGTTTACCACATAAATTTGCCAACTTTATGTGCATGTATGGCTTATTGAAGCTCTTAAAGCGTAAAAGGACTTAGTAGATGACTTAATGCATGTATAAGACCTTAAACCATATAAAGCTTGCACCTTTAAGCATAATGAAAGCTCCAAACACCCAAATCTATAAGATTTAGCTTCTAAAATGGCCTTAACCAATCAAGACCACCGAAAAGGGGACAAAGAAGCATAAATGCATAACATGAAGAGATCTAAGCAAGAAGAAGACAAGGTAAGAAATTGATACCTTAAAAGACTTGCAAAATGAGTGTGGCTTCTGGATCTCTAAACTTCACACTAAGCAATGCACCTTCAATCTTCTTCATTCCCTTCAAAATAAGAAAAATAAGCACCAACTTCCCTCAAGAGCTCAAAGATACGACAATAGAGGATAAGGGTTGGAATTTAGTGTTTAGAAGGCATGGAGGCTGGTAAAGAGGCCAACACTAGAGACTTAATGAACTTAAATAGGGTGCAACATCTTAAAACTATGGTTTAATTAAACCCTCGTACGCCCCGTGTAATCCTTGTACGCCCAACGTACGAGGCATCGCATCAGTGATCAATCCTTCTTCGTACGCTACGCGTACACCAATTACGTCCCATGTACTGGACATAGCAGTAGTACACCCTGCGTACTCCATATGTATGCCTCATGTACTAGGGTTATCCTTAAACCCTGAATTCTTCCGAAAGTCATAACTTTTTCATTATAAGTCCGACTTTGACGATCCTTATTTCCATGAAAAGGTAATGAGAAGCTCTACACTTTTATCAACTCCTACTCACCTTAAAATTTCCCAAACCAAAGTCCAATTTTCCTAAAATCCCGAGTTGACACTTCACCAAAATATACCTTGGCCCCGAAACACAAATTGAACACCAAGATTATCTAAATTACGTCACCAACATCCAAATGGGAAAGGATTCGGGACAGGACGTTACACCATATATCTCTTATTCGGTTTAGATATTAATTTAGTTCGTGCATAAACCCAAAAAATGTTTTTTAAATATTGTCTTTAGATTTCTATGGTATCTTAAGGGTAGTTCTACTAGAGAGTTTCTATAAAAAATCAAATACTTTTGAGTTAAAAGAGTTTGTGGATGCTGATTGTGAAAAGTGTCATCATTGAAGAAGGTCAGTTACAAGTTACACTACAAGAAACTGGACCTATAGGGACGAAAAATGTTGTCTCTATAGGTTAAAAATGTCGTCACTATAGGTGGCCGGGAGGACATGTCGTCCCTACAGCTCTCGTCCTCATAGCCCCGTCGCAATAGATATTTTTGGTCGTCGCTATAAATATGGTCGCAATAGGTATCCTTTAGAGACGACATGTCGTCCTGTTTTGGTTCGTCGCTATACGTTGTTGGTCTCCATAAATGAAGCTATAGAGACGACATGTCGTCTCTATTGGTATATGTATAAACACAACATGTCGTCTCCATAGATAGAGATATAGTCGACTCACCTTAGCCCTTAGCGACAACATGTCGTGGTGGTAGATGCATCTGTAGAGACAACATTTCGTCTCTATAGATCCACCTATAGAAACAACATGTCGTCTCTATAGGTATGCCCATATAGCTGCTCTTTTTTCTCTATAATTTCTCAGTTCTCATATCACAAAATTACTAAAACAGTAAATTATATAAAATGGTAAATTTAACTGCAAAACATTAATATTCGATACAATCTCAAAACACTACATTATTACAAATATAATTAATAACTTTTATATTATTAAAAATATAATGTAATAAAAAACTTACATTAAAGAAAACAAATAATCATATGACATTTCTGTCTCAATTTATAAAAATAAATTTAAATGATGATATCAGAAACTAAAAGAATATCACCATCCCTTAGATGAAGAATCATGCTCACTGCTTCTTCCTTAAGGGAAGTTACTTCAGTCTGCACATATAAACACATTCTGAGTCAATATATACACTTGCAGTGTTTAAGTTAATCCACAAGTAAATAAAATGATAGGTTTACCCTTGCGACAGTTTCCAAGTGTTTCACAACTGCAGCATATACCGTTCTCTGTTTTGTGGGGGAAGCATTAGCAAGTGCAGAAGCCAACGCACCAATCGGAATGTGTTGTGTGATTCCAGTGTCTCTCAATGCCATTCCACCCATGTCATACGGAACAAAAACCATTCCCCCACCTCCAATTCCGGTCATGGAACCATCCGGAACATTCTGTCCAGGGGGTAACGGTACATCCTCCCACGAAGATTGGAATTCATTTGTGATACGAGTGTCTCAACGCATCATCTATTATTAATTTGTTTTAATCAATCTCAATTAATTAATTTAATTATTAATATCACTGAAATTTTTTTAAAAGAGATTGGAATTCTAATCTGTTGTTGGATTAGGGGTATGGGCTGCTGGTTTTGCTGACCTGGACCAGTAGCACGCCTGCCACCTGGGTGTTGAACTTGTTGACCTTGCTGTACCATTGGCATGAAGAAGTTTGGCATTGGGGCGCCACCTGGACGCATACCTGGCACGAGTTGCTGTTGATACCCAAATCCAGGCTGTACATGATTTTTTAAAAAAAATTTGTTTAGTTTTGAAAAGATCTTTACAAGAACAAAATATTCAACACCATGAAAAATCTTGAAACATGATTATAATAAAAAGAATAATTTTTATTAACTGATGTTATTACCTGTGGAGGAATGAATGTAGGCTGAGCTTGACCATAGAATATATGTTGACCTAAACCTGGCCCACCAGGTGGATACATTGGCATACGTGGTGCTACAGCTGGCGCCATTGCAATTGGACGCATCTGTGAGAATTGTACCTATATAAAAAAAGGGCAAAATTGTCATAAAAATGTTTATATTGCATAAGAAGTAAGAACATATGTCTCAAGTCTCAACATACCTGCAATCTTGCCCTTCTGTCTTCCTTACGTTGTGCAAGTGCCACATAAAGTCAGACTTCATAGATAGAGAGAAAATGTAAAAACTCAAATGATACAAAAAGAATATTTACCCCTAATGCCTCTTGTGTATCCTTGTTTTCCTTACAAAGATGAAATCTGGAGATGAATATTTGAAAACATTGTCATTAATAAAGAATATAAAGCTTCAAAAGTAAAACATCGTCATTAATGAAAGGAAATAGGATGATATAATAAACAAATATATGAAAGTATTGAATGTGGACATGTCTTCCAACAAACTAACTAGAAAGATCCCATCAGAGCTCACAGATCTTCCATTCCTTTCTGTTCTTAATCTATCATACAATCAATTAAAAGGAAGAATCCCAACAAGCTCCCAGTTTCAGACTTTTGATGGGGATTCCTATGGAGGAAAGAAGGGATTATGTGGGTTTCCTCTGAATAAAAGATGCAAAACTTCAGTGGCAGTATCATTACCACCAAAATCCCGAGAATCAAATGATGATGGGTATGATTGGCAGTCCCTATTCTATGGAATGGCAGCCGGGTCTGGATCATTAGCTGTTTTAGCGATCCGTTCTTAAAATTGTCTGAAGTCTCCGTTCTTAAAATTGTGAGTTTTGTTGTATAAATTTCCCTATTTTCATTTCCATAAATTTTCAATTTGTATCTAGAGTCAGAATGTAAGTTCTTGAGGTAAGAGAAAAGTTTGTAATATCTATTTAGCTTACTTAACATCACAATTACTGATCTGCAAATCATGAATTGTAAACTGATTCATACTCCTATGTTTCTTGAACATAGCCGCAAACTGGTTGCAAGTTTTACAAGCTATAATAGACACTACCTGAGGAACTTTCCAAGATGCTGGATCTGAACCTCTACTGTCATAAGGAGTCTCATCTCTTCCTTTCCTCTTCTTATTACCTCTGCCTCTTTCATTATTTTCCAAAGATAGTTCCCATCTTTGGAGAATTGAACCTAAGGGAAAAATGGTCATTTTTTAAACCATGATTACATATAAACATGCAGATATATATATATATATATATATATATATATATATATATATATATATATATATATATATATATATAGCTAGCTTACTTACATGTGTAACCCCACCTTGTTGACCATGTAGGACATATAAGAGCTCCATATTATCTTCTCTTTGTATTGCTATAGTTTGACTATAAGACCCTATAGCAAGCATCCCCGTATGACTTGGAGAAAAGGGAATTGATAATATGATACCTGAGAGCAAGGAAGAAAGCTCATTATTAGTGAAATACGCAAAATACCCTTGTAATTAACCACACCAACCTGATTGTCCTTCCTAGTTTCCTTGGATGGTTGAATGTTGTTGGAAATCTCTACCAGGGTGATGAATATCAAATATCCTGATGGATCTGTTGTATCCAGCAAATATCCTGAATCAAATAAGTTGATATTTATATAGAAACAAACTTTCATTCATTTCTTTTTCTTATTAAGAAATTATACTTTGAAAAGTATGACCAATTATGGCATTGTGGATTTTTTTAAGTACAATGTTGTAACAGAAAGAAAGGAATGTATGGTTCTATAAGAAACAAATAAAATAAAGATGAAAGAAAATGTGTTGTGGTCCTTCAAAATAATATAAGCTTACTTTGTTCCTGAGGGGTTGAAACCAATTGAGAAGTGGCAGTTGTTTCATCCATGGCATCATATGCTCGATATGTGCAACGTGGCTGTAATTCCATGTTGAATCAATCAAGTGTTAATAAATTAATACCACAATTATTATCCATGACATGAATAATAATAATGACTAATATAAAGATTCAATGATATAAATCAAGACCAAAGCACATGCTATATTCAATTAGGTGCATTTAGTTAAATATTAAGATTAAAGAATATGATGAAGCACCTGTCCTGTGCTATAAGATGAATAGGATGGTTACGAGTGGTGGTTGCAAACACACAAGAGAATGGATCTACAACACAATCAGAGTAACATAATTCTTGTTAACTGTTGATTTACATGCGAAGTATCTTTGGATTGTCTACTAATAATGAAAGAAAAAGGATATCAACAAAAGAACCTGAACCAGACATGTAAGTATGCATTTTGATGAGGATTCAGGTCCATCTACTGTGTCTGTAACCAAGAACTTGAGTTTCTCTTTAAAAAAATTATGAATTGCCTGAAGGGAGCAAACTATTAGTAAATTACACATACACATACTATTGATTAGCTATAATTGATGAAAAGAAACATTGATAAGAGAGATTCCTACTGTTCGATGAACTTTATCAGAACTTGGAGAAAGAACAATGGAGGTATTGGTAACTATAACTCCATCTTCATCATTTGAATTTATCTTATGTATAAACTCCTTCAGGGAGTTGGCATCAGAGTCACCAACTATGGCTCTAAACGATTCAATTTCACTAAAATGGTTACCATTTGGTTGATTTGTAGTCTTTGATTCATGTTCCTCTGCTGTTTGAATCGAAAAAATGTAGACCGTTAAAGTCAGATGTAAGGATGAATGGATATGATTGTGAATTAGATGATAAGAGATGGTAACAGACCTCCATTGGTGCATCTAAGGAAGTCAAATGAACAACATTTCCATCTAAATCCACTTCATTAACTATAAAACCAGAGTACCTGTAAACAAAAACATAAAATCAAAAGGCTACTCTTCATTTGAATCAAATGTAAATTCACAACTGTTCCACATTTATAGAATCATTATGAATGTCTGAAATGAAAGGAGAATACTTGTACTCCCAAGTCTGAAAGCTTGATTTGTAGAGGATGAAATGAAGAGGTTCCTAATAATTGAACACTAACCTAGGTCGCCG